ATGCACAACACCGACACGCAATTTCTCATCTTCAGCACAGAATTACCCAGCGCTTAGATATATATATATATAAATAATATTCACTAAGTGCTTACCAATTTAAATATACATTAATTTGCACTCGGCTGCACCAATCACATAGACGGGCACAGCAGTGCCCCCGGGTGTTGTAACGCGTCCGCCGCTCAGGATGTACGAGCCAATCGGAGCCGCTGCATTTGTTACACTCGCTATTGCTCAGTCGTGACATATCGGACAGGAAGTCGTTGCTCAACTCAGCGTGACTCCGTAAGCAGATGTGTGTCATGCATATTTCTGTCTGACCCTCCGACGCGACGGTGTACAAGCATGGATTAGAAATGCAGCCAAGGCATAATTGTACATCACCGACCTGCTGTTACATTTGTCTCAGTAGCCTTCGGTGCTTTGTTATGAATTCCATGTCATGTGCTAAGTCATTGTATGTTTGTATATGTCATGTGCTAAGTCATTGTATGTTTGTATTGTATTTTATCATGTGCTAAGTCATTGTATGTTTGTATATGTCATGTGCTAAGTCATTGTATATTTGTATAGTATATGTCATGCGCTAAGTCATTGTATGTTTGTATATGTCATGTGCTAAGTCATTGTATGTTTGTATAGTATATGTCATGTAAGTTGATGTATGTTTGCGTTCTATATGTCAAGTGCTAAATCCCTGTACAATTTTTTTCAAGAGTTCGGGGTTACTCAGAAATATCCTTGTTTTTGTAAGATAAGAAAATTATTTCATCAAGTTGATCAAAAATACAGTGTAGACATTGTTGATGTTGTAAATTCCTATTGTAGCTGTAAACAGCTGGTTTTTAATGGAATATCTACAAAGGCTTACAGAGGCCCATTTTCAGCAACAACCAGCCCTGCGTTCCAATAGCACGCTGTGTTTGCTAATCCAAGTTTATCATGTGTTTGGGTCACAAATAACATTTGTGAGATGCAGACCCAATGAAAAAATGCTAGAGGAGTGGTCGATGCCATCTGTCAAACGGTGGAGGCAATGTGTTGGTCTGGGGGTGCTTTGTTGGTATTTGTACAGGATAAAAAGTCATAAGTCATTGTATGTGTGTGTTATATATGTCAAATGTTAAGTAACTGCATGTATAATTTCACCATGTCAAATGTTAAGGCACTGAAAGTATATACATGTTAAGTCATTGTATGTGTGTGATATATATGTCAGATGTTAAGAACCTGCAAGTATATATTCTAAATGTTAAGTCATTGTATGTGGGTGATATATATGTCAGATGTTAAGTAACTGCCTGTATATATTCTAAATGTTAAGTCATTGTATGTGGGTGATATATATGTCAGATGTTAAGTAACTGCCTGTATATATTCACTACGGCTGGCGTTACGTTATTGAACCATTGGATGTTTTAACCTTTTTTAATTAATCGTCCTGGTTGAAGGCCACAAGGTTGGATGGTATGTAACCGTCGGCAACGCCAATCTATACGGCGGTTTCACGATTGATAATTAAACTCACTCGCATTGATTTCACTTCGGAGCGGAATGTTGTGGTTGCCTAGCAGTGTGGTGCCGTCGTTTGTAGTCGGCGGCGCTGAAAAACAAACGGGGCATTATGGTCGAGGATAATGCAGATGATGGGCTTCACCCGCCACAGAGTCCCCCGGGGGGTCTGACTGGTCATTACGGTAATGAGGTGGTCCGCCATACCCGGACTCTCGCTCAAATGACGGCGGAGAGGCAGCCAGCTGCGAGTTGATTGCGAGTCCTCTCAGCGCCGTCGTTAAATCAAATGCCTCGTTGTGCATTGGCATGCGTGCGTCGAGCCTCTGAATGGCTGGCGCCCTGCTAAAGTCCCCGCCTTGCAGATTTCCGCGTCATTACCAGGAGTTACGGCCCTGCTTGTCCGGGGCTCCCCACGGCGGAGGGTGTAATTGGCCGGTGCCGTCCGGGTTGTTTGGGTCAGCCATAGAGGAGGGTCGCCTCGTCTCATCGCCCTCTAGCGTCTCCTTTTGGCGCCAATGACGCTTGACGTGGGCGCCGCGTGGGGTTCTGGTTTACACTTGCTGGTTGAGCGGGCGCGGCAAGGCGACAACACACTCGACGCGCCGCAGAGAAGCGGCCCCTGGCGGGAGTGGCAGCACTGGAGCGGGGCCTTAATCATCAATTGGGCATCATTAAATCACTGAGAAAAACGGGGTGAGAAATTTAAATAAAAAACTCATTGTATGGCAGCTTGTGGCACTTCTGTTACACATAGGACTGCATTGACGGCAAACCGACAGAACGGCATTGCATGTCGTCACAGCCAACGTAGATCCACGGATCAAGCAGTACAATGCAGAACAGTTTCCTTTCCAACGCTCCATCCTGCATTGTGAGACACCCTGTGAGAAGTCGATTTTCATGCCGACATCGTCTGTGCCCACGATCTCGTCCGAGACATGGTTTAAAATGAGGGGTAGAATGAGCCTAGAGGATGGCCATACTGGCAATGTAGAGGATGGCCATACTGGCAATGTAGAGGATGGCAATACTGGCAATGTAGAGGATGGCCATAATGGCAATGTAGTGGATGGCCATACTGGCAATGTAGAGGATGGCCATACTGGCAATGTAGAGGATGGCCATACTGGCAATGTAGAGGATGGCCATACTGGCAATGTAGAGGATGGCCATAATGGCAATGTAGAGGATGGCCATACTGGCAATGTAGAGGATGGCCATACTGGTAATGTAGAGGATGGCCATACTGGCAATGTAGAGGATGGCCATAATGGCAATGTAGAGGATGGCCATACTGGCAATGTAGAGGATGGCCATAATGGCAATGTAGAGGATGGCCATAATGGCAATGTAGAGGATGGCCATAATGGCAATGTAGAGGATGGCCATACTGGCAATGTAGAGGATGGCCATACTGGCAATGTAGAGGATGGCCATACTGGCAATGTAGAGGATGGCCGTAATGGCAATGTGGAAAAACGGTGGGTTTATTATCACAACGCCAGACGGTCAGGGAGGAGGCTGACAACGGAGCATAGCGCTTTAGTTCTGTCGACCCCCAAAACACGTGATGAGGCTGATAAAGGCCTCGAACCATGATCGTGTGTGTGTGTGTGGTCGTGTGTGTGTGTGTGGTCGTGTGAGTGTGTGTGGTCGTGTGTGTGTGTGTGGTCGTGTGTGTGTGGTCGTGTGTGTGTGGTCGTGTGTGTGTGTGTGTGTGTGTGGTCGTGTGATCGTGTGTGTGTGTGTGTGGTCGTGTGTGTGTGTGTGGTCGTGTGATCGTGTATGTGTGGTCGTGTGTGTGTGTGGTGGTGTGTGTGTGTGTGTGTGTGGTCCATGCGCGCGGAAAACCAGCAGATTGTGGCCGGTCGTTTACCGGGAAGCCCACTCGATCGTTCTCTTCCAACGTGTATACAGAAGGTCACCGTGGGACTCCTTAGCAGCGTTTAACTGCAATCACCTGAGCTTCATGTAAAATACGGGCTCCTTCACCAGGCACGATGGAGACTGCCGGTTGAGTCGCCCTCCCTATAAGGCGCCAGTGTTCTGCGTTTCAGAAGCATGGGTTTGGTTATGAGTACACACCTCCCTCCGAAGGATCTCGCTGTGACAAAGTAAATGTTTAGTAATGGCCTGTCCGGATATCAGCAATATCAGCTAAATTAATGTGTGGAGAACCTGCTGCTGGTAATTATTATATGGGCGATATGGGTGAAAATATCTTTTAGAATCACCCATTGGGCTGCCTGTTAAAGGGCCTTAAGACGTTTGGCCGGTGTAAAGTTACCTCCAGGATTGCATTGAGCCAATTTCTTTTAATTCTAATCGAAAATGGGATCCTTAAAGGGGGAGAGGGTTTGTGTAATTACCAGCTTAGGCTGCTGGCATAATGGTGAATTTCAGGGAAGAATGGGTGTTAATGAGGAAAGAAGCACCCTGTTATGCAATTATTATTAGATACTCACACAGGGGGAGCTGAGAGATACATCCATGCGGAAATATTACCAATTAGACTGCAGCACAGGCAAGTGATTTGATACAGAACAAAGCACCAAAACGAAGTGAAACCAACTAAACTGGGGCAGTTAGAGCACGCTGAGCTTTCTTCTGGCACTCATACTTTGGTATGTGTCATTCAACACGGTTGTATGCATTATGCATAACAAGCTGATCTGGGTACTGATCGCATATTCTGTTTTGGATTGTTAAATATTTGAGGTGTTATTCATCTCGTGTGTTCCGGTCCCAGAACACAACAGCCACAGGAACGTATCCTACTTTATGTGGGTTAATAATGTGAGACACGTACAAGTCAACTCTCTCTCTTTTTGTTCTTGTCTAGCTAAGATGTTTAGAAGCACCAGTAAATGTTCAGCTTCGCTCCTTTCTGTTTGAACTTTACTTAAAGAGGGTTAATGGCAAGACACGGCGCTGTGGCATTTGTTTCTTTTCGTTCTGAAGTTGGAGGGCTTTACTGATTGTTAAACCCTTTGTTATCGCATTGGATAAAACAACAACTGCGCTGATTTGTTTATGTACCCGTCCATGGCCTTTTGAGACAGTGGATCGTTCCCTTTTAGAGAACTAATTGGTATCTTAAGGGTAAAGGAGATACATGTTCAGACCTCAGGCTATTCCAACAGAACTGGGTTGAATTAGAATATTCTAGAAGTGCACAAAAGGGGTGTACTATATGCACATTACATTGGAAACTCTGAAAAATATTGTGATACATTTTTTTCTCATGCTGATGATATGATATTGCGCTCTGCTTTAAGTCATATTTTCAAGCATCAAAAAAATCACTTTTAGAACTAAAATATGTGCCAAATGCAAACAAATTCAAAGAAATAAAAGTTAAGGTTGTATTTTGGTAATTGTTAGTTCAAGTTGCTGTGTTGTTATTTATTTAAATTAGATTTAACCTTTATTTAACGAGGTAGGCCATTTGAGAACAAATTCTCATTTGCAACGGCGAGCTGGGGAGAAGCTGGTATTGAGCCCAGGACAGCATACATACAAAGCATGCACTCTACCACTGAGATACCAACTCCTCCATGGCACAATTTCATTTAAACCAGTTAATGTTTTTTCACTGTTTGTTTAATTTGAGTTAATAAAACCCACAAACGGGATATCTGCGCTGCGCCTGGTTCTTCTGCACTTCACTCACAACGGAACGTGACAATCCCCAAAACACAGCAGTGCTTACTTCCAGATAAGGCAAAAGTAGTTTCAGAACTGGATAAAACTGGCTTTAAATTGACTACCCCACGGAGGTGGAATAAGCTGCAAAAATGAGTTAAGTAGTAAATAAGTTATATCTTTTAGCTAATTGAAAACATCGTAGAACCTTTAGCTCAAGGACAAATGTGTTCTTCTGATGTGTGCTTGTGTGTTTGCTTGTTGAAATGTTTTGTGTTGGCATGCATCCTGTGGAGTAAAAAAAGCTAGTTATTTATTATGTGTACACGGACACATGCAAAAATAATGTGTTCTCAATCCATTTATCTGACTAATAAAGGGTGAAAATTAACATATGCTTCAATAACCATTATTGTTTTTACTAGAAAGTTGGTGGCAGGGGGGGAATCCTCTATCTCCACATTCGATAAGTACTACAAACATTCAGAGTAACTGCAAATTATCTTGTTGTGAATTCTGCAAAGTAGTCAGCTATCAATTTTAAATGGAATAAGTGAAGAGTATTGGAAATGATAGAGAATTGGCTTTCAGGCAAAGTGTCCCCTGGAGGAAGCAAATCAACCCCTCATTTCTGATTCAAGAAAAGGTAAAACAGAAACTCTCTGCAAGCGGTTCAGCTCCACCAATCTCTTCCGTCTGGCCTTGCACATTTTTTAGAGCTTATTCTGTGGAATTTAAAGCTGCAGACTGATTCGATTTGCAAAACGGACTGAAAACCCCCCATTTCACAATACAAGGAAAACAATGCGTCTGTTATCGAGATCCGTATTCGTCCGGATTTGCTGTGACTTTGCGGCCTAGAAAATTTGTCCTGTATACGTGCATCCCAATGTATCCTGAGCTGAATGTAAATATATCATGGCATAAATGCGTTCACAAGCCAACCGCTAAAGTCATCATGTGTGAAATGACACTAATTGTTTTATTTGATGCGGGACTAAACCACACAGAGATAAATACATTCTTTAATCTATACATTCCGGTTCAAGGCACTAAATTTGGTTAGTGCCACATTAACATATGCAATTGTTCTTTACGATTTCATCATTTTGGATTTTGATATGGAGTTAAACCAATGGAGTATTTCTGAAAAATAATGGCAAATGATTTGATGTGACAAAGGTATGTTTTCACCGAAATTTGGAAAAAGGGTTTTATTCATTACTGCATAACCAGTTATGTATCCAAATAAATAGTATTCATTTTTATTTTCCTTGTTCCTTGGGAAAACAAATGTGTTCCTCTCACCAAGCCTGAGGGTGTCCTGGAGCAAAACCAAAATCACCTCCATGTTCCAGAGACTCAACTGAATAGCCTGAAGAATACAGAACTGGTAATTTTTAAGAGATGTATTTGCACCTGCTGGGAGTAATTCTCCACTGACTCCTTTTTAATCAAATGAAACACGGTTACGTGTTCCAGAGAGTCCAGATTGTAATTGAGTGGATTCATGGAGTTTCTAGCACCAACCAATTGGTCATGGTTGGTCATGTCGACCATTTGGCCATGGTTGGTCATGTCATATCTCCATGTCATATCATCATGGTTGGTCATGTCATATCTCCATGTCATATCATCATGGTTGGTCATGTCATATCTCCATGTCATATCATCATGGTTGGTCATGTCATATCTCCATGTCATATCATCATGGTTGGTCATGTCATATCATCATGGTTGGTCATGTCATATCTCCATGTCATATCATCATGGTTGGTCATGTCATATCTCCATGTCATATCATCATGGTTGGTCATGTCATATCTCCATGTCATATCATCATGGTTGGTCATGTCATATCTCCATGTCATATCATCATGGTTGGTCATGTCATATCTCCATGTCATATCATCATGGTTGGTCATGTCATATCATCATGGTTGGTCATGTCATGTCTCCATGTCATATCATCATGGTTGGTCATGTCATGTCTCCATGTCATATCATCATGGTTGGTCATGTCATGTCTCCATGTCATATCATCATGGTTGGTCATGTCATATCTCCATGTCATATCATCATGGTTGGTCATGTCATATCTCCATGTCATATCATCATGGTTGGTCATGTCATGTCTCCATGTCATATCATCATGGTTGGTCATGTCATATCATCATGGTTGGTCATGTCATGTCTCCATGTCATATCATTATGGTTGGTCATGTCATGTCTCCATGTCATATCATCATGGTTGGTCATGTCATATCATCATGGTTGGTCATGTCATATCTCCATGTCATATCATCATGGTTGGTCATGTCATGTCTCCATGTCATATCATCATGGTTGGTCATGTCATATCTCCATGTCATATCATCATGGTTGGTCATGTCATGTCTCCATGTCATATCATCATGGTTGGTCATGTCATATCATCATGGTTGGTCATGTCATATCTCCATGTCATATCATCATGGTTGGTCATGTCATATCTCCATGTCATATCATCATGGTTGGTCATGTCATATCTCCATGTCATATCATCATGGTTGGTCATGTCATATCATCATGGTTGGTCATGTCATATCTCCATGTCATATCATCATGGTTGGTCATGTCATATCTCCATGTCATATCATCATGGTTGGTCATGTCATGTCTCCATGTCATATCATCATGGTTGGTCATGTCATATCTCCATGTCATATCATCATGGTTGGTCATGTCATATCTCCATGTCATATCATCATGGTTGGTCATGTCATATCTCCATGTCATATCATCATGGTTGGTCATGTCATATCTCCATGTCATATCATCATGGTTGGTCATGTCATATCTCCATGTCATATCATCATGGTTGGTCATGTCATATCTCCATGTCATATCATCATGGTTGGTCATGTCATGTCTCCATGTCATATCATCATGGTTGGTCATGTCATATCGCCACTGACGACTCACGGCGGATTCGGCGATATCGAAGGCTTTGTCTGTCTGAGCGAAAGATGTCGATCACCATCATATCCCCCTGGAATAATATACCCCGAAAAAACTGCAAAGGAAGTAGGCAATTTTGTAAATGTGTCTGTCGTAATGGTATATATTGCCGGCAGGGGCGGATTTAGTAATTTGGGGGCCCCAGGCGAAGACAGATATGGGGCCCCTTAACTCTATTCTCACCCCTTAAATCCTTATAATCAGAACAACGAGACCTACTTGCTAGATGTCTTCTCATCGGGCATTCACTGACACACAGAACTTCTGTAAAGATGTCCAGAGTGTCATTCGTCTGAAAGAAAATAAACATGTGCTTCTTTAACAGAAACAACATACCACTATCACTGTAAAGACACAATAAATAGTAGAGATTTTGTAATGGATGCAAGCATTTACCCTTAACTTCCATGGTCTGTTGACTAGACATGAAGGTTTGGTTATACGGTCTCTTGTATTCTAAAATAGAAAAGGTTAACAGATGAACAATGCGAACACAATTCAATAAAACATATAATCTAGTATAAATAGGCTGTATACCTTTACCATATTTTTTGATCTGCCTCTCTTTTATTGTTATCCTCCCTCTCTTAAAACTTCACCTTACGAGCCTTGGCCTCAGCGAATCTTGCTATCAGTGACTCTGTGTCTATGGTCTTCCTCATTTTATGCTCAATGGAGAGAATAGCAAGGAGGACAGTCTGTCTTGTGACATTGTTGTTCTCAGGTAGGTCTTAATCAGCTTTAGAGATGAGAAGCTTCTTTCACCTGAAGCCACTGTCACAGGAAGGGTTAGAAGGAGTCTGAGTGCAATGCTTAAATTGGGGTACATGTCAAGTACATTGTGCTTATATATATAATCCAGCATATCATAGGGTGAGGATATAGCTGTGGGAAAAGCCCTTACTGCACCCTTGACCTCCAGGACCAGATCTTCTGCATCAATGTCATGCATTTTTAATTCTAACCTCTGGCAGCACTCATCTAGCTTTCCTTTCTGTTCACTGCTCCTCATTTCATCAATTGTGTACAGAAATCCATACAGCTCGTGGAAGCTTTCCATTTGAGAAAACCTTTCCTTTATTGTGACAACCGCTGTATCTACAAGGACTAGGAAAAAGTCCCTTTTGAAATGCTCCTCTGCAGTTGATTCAGTTTGCTCTTTTCCCTCATACTCAAACTGTCTATCTGCTCTTCGCTGACGTACTTCTGGCCATGTCATCTCCACCTTAAGCTTCTCTGCTATCTCCCTGGCATCAGTTTGGGCAGAGGTAAGGCCCTTCTCTCGATATTCTTCCAAGAATTCTGTCACTCCCCTGGTTTCTCTTCGAAGTGTCTCAATTGACACCTGTGGGCTCTGCAACATCTTGCTCACTTTGTTGATCTGGAACAGAACATTGTACCATACAATTGTACAAAGTATGAAGGGCCATGTCTGCATTTCTTTGCAGATGCTTGGAGCTGTTGAAACTACATCTGCATCTCGTTTCTCTGTAGCATACTCTATCAAGGCAGACAAAGCGTTGACCAGCTCAGGAAGCTGGTAGCGCACAGCTTTGACACTGTCAACCCTACACTCCCACCTGGTTGTTGACAGTACTTTTACTGTTAGGTTCTTCACATGTTCTGTGAGAATGGCCCAGCGGTTCACTGAGGAGCTAAACAGGGTGTAAAGTCTCTGCAACAGACCAAAGAAGCTGATGGAAGTCATAGAAGATTTAGCAGCATCACCAACAACAATATTAAGGGTGTGACTGCCACAAGGAACACTTAAGGCCTTGTTGTTCATGTCCAGGACTCTCTTCTGCACACCCTGTTTATTGCCTTGCATATTACTGCCATTATCGTACGACTGGCCACGGCAGTTGGCAATATCCAAGCCTAGTGTTTCTAGGTGACCTAAAAATGACTC